TTTCCCACCCCCTCTCTTTTTCTCCCACTTTCTTTTCTCTGTTCTTTACTTGTCCTAGAGCTCACCCCATCTCATCTTCCCTTCTTCCCTTTCACTCCAACCCCTCCTTCCCTCCGTCCTCCCCCTCTCTGCTCTTTTTGCATTACTTTCTACCACCTGCCCCTCACTTGTCCCAGTTCACAACACACACACACACACACACTCACACACACTTTTAAATGCACTTGAGCTCTCTCTCTCTCTCTCTCGCTCTCTCTCTCTCTTTCTCTCTCACTCACTCTATACACACACACACACACACACACACACACACACTGCATCAATAATGTAGAAACTGGCGTGGAAAGTTGACGATAGGGGTGCTCTAATCCCTGTCCTGGGACACGAGAGGGCGAGCGCGAGAGAGACTGACTCGTGCATTTAGGCTGTAATGGTTATCTGGTATCTCCCCCAGGGGGGAGATGGGTGAGGGAGGAAAGGAGCCAAACAGAGGGAGAGTGGAGGTCAGAGAGGTTAAGTGTGGTTGTGGGGGTTATGTCATGCTCTGCAGGCTCTGCTTTCCTTCTCTTCATCCTGCTGCTAAGCATCACACACACACACACACACACACACACACACACACACACACACACACACACACACACACACACACACAGAGATTCCAAAAATTCCCCACTGAAAGTCTCCTATCTGGTATACCATGCTGATGAAATGGATCTGTGCGTGTGTGTGTGCGCGTGTGTGTGTGTGCGTGCGTGCGTGCGTGCGTGCGTGTGTGTGTGTGTGTGTGTGTGTGTGTGTGTGTGTGTGTGTGTGTGTGTGTGTGTGTGTGTGTGTGATAGTTGATCCAATATGAGTCAGGACAGCTCCGCCTGGGCTGGACTTTAGGTGGATAGAAGGACAAAGACACCTGTTCTTTCTCTCAACATTCCTCTGAACGTAATCCTCATCATCTCTGTCTCACACACACACACACACACAGCTCACACATCAAGGGCGAAACAACTCGCATCGTTCACTTTACACTCTTGTTTAAGGAGAATTCGTCATTTTTAAATAAAAAGGAAATCATAAAAAATTGTCTTGAAGTGAATTAATTTTGAAATAAAGTTAAATTTACTGTCAGATGTTTACATAATCAGGTGGAAGTCGATAAACAATGTGTCACCTTTATTGCCCATTAATCATCTGTTTTCTTCATAATTATTTATTTTCTTCTCAACCCGAAGTTTCAGAAAACGCAAAACTACTGAAAACCTGCATCTCAACCAGGAAGTGGTGCTTTGCACTCTGCACGTCTCATAAAGAGTCCTGCTAGGGAGTAGGAGACACACATGTGAGGTTACCATGGTGACCCTGATGAGCCACTGGCATCAGTTTTAACATTTCTTTTTATCTTAGTTATTTTACACTTTTTCTACATTTCATGAGGTTGTTGCAAAAGTTGGTCCTAAACTTCTGCGGAGATTTGCAGAAGAAACTATGAATTTCATGCATTCATTTTTTCAACATATAAAATGAAACAAAATGCATTCATTAATATTTTGCATGTAAAAGCCACTTTATGGGTGTTTCTTTTGTAACTGTAGGATATAAAATACTTGTATTTACTTTTTATTTGAAACCCTTACAGATGGATCTAGCAGACATAAACATGCACGAGAGGCCAGCAGAGTGTCTGGTATAACAAAAGCTGTGAGGCCGTTTCTTTGTTTTTCTTTCCGTATTCATCTGGTGTTTGTTTGAGGAGCTTCGCCTGCTTATTTTTAACAGCTCCCTGTTACACATGCAGACGGTTACGAAGCCAATACAGTCATCTAACGCCGCTCGCTGCTGAGTGGTTTCAGCAGAGCAGCTGTCTGCTTTAACAGCTACACACGCCAGGGTTAGTGGTTAAGATGTGGTCAGCGCGCCGTGCTTCAGCCAAATCAGTCAGGTCTTGTTAAGTTGTGACTTTCTAATCGTCTGAAAGCGATTCTGGAGTTTGTCATGGGTCGGAGCGGGCTCTGGCTGCATGTTTACAACAGGAAAGAGAGGAGGAGGAGGAAAGTGGAAAAAGATAAAGGAAACAAAATGACATTGTCATCTGCATGTCAGCTACCACCTACATATGCAGCCCTGGAAAGGTCTTAGAAACTCCTGGTGCAGATGCCTTTGCACAGATGACCCGTGTCTTATATACAGTAGCAAACCCTCCAACCTTAAAGTGGTTTATTGCTGTTTGCATGTCACGTCACAGAGATTAACATCTATGCAGGCTTTGAGAAGGAAAATGTGTAGGCATCTCATCCATACTTTGAGTGATGCTCAGAAATCAGTATTTTCTGTCGCAAAAGGACTTCTGAGTAGGTGTAAGTGATTCACTGACCGAATGCATCAGCGTGGAGGAAAAAAGTCCACCGACGGGATGATGAGAAATAGCTCTTTAGCTCATGTTAACCATAAACTGGAAGTGAACTTAGTGCTCAATGTGATCAAATGTTCCAGCAGCAAGACTCGCGTACAGATTTACAGACGTCTGGTCAGTGTGCTATCAACCTTATTTGGTGTTACGCAACGGCGACTGAATGGCGAGGGCAGGCGAGTGCAGAGGAGATTATCGGGGCCATCCGTCTCTGCTTCAGGCTGTCATCCACACACACGTCCGAACACCCATAATCTGATGACTTAGTCCCGTTTTTGTCTCAATCTCAGCCTGCCTCGTTGTTTTTTTTTACTTCTGCCGACATTTACGTACCGTCACACCGAACAAACAATGGCTCCGTATAGATTCGCATCTCCATCTTTTCTTGGCAGAATACAGAGAAAATGAGCCAAGTGAGGATAAAAATAGACCCTCTGAGATTAACATCACTGAGACTCGTTAGTGTAAGATGTCTGTTGATTTACTCTGAGGTAAAATTAAAGGCTGCAGTTTTATTAAAATGCCTTTCCTTTATAAAAGTGGTGAAAGGGACCTCACAATGGTACCAAAACTGGGAGAAGTCTTGATATTTTTTAGCCAACCTTCTCATTTGAACAACTGTTGCAAAAATCAAACCCAGTGCAGACACAACTTGGCTAAAAAGAACAAAATACTACTCTCCTATGATCGTGTCAGATTTTATTGACCACCCAGGCAACAGAATGCCAGTGGGAGAATTTCACAAACATTTTCAAACATGCAATGGCACATAAACTGCTGCAGACTCGTATATTTGGGCACACACGCTCATGAAAACAGTCATATACCCACGCCCACTGTCTCTTTCTGCTTTAACTCTGCATTTCCTTTGAGTGGAGAGAGAGAGAGAGAGAGGGAGAGAGATGGAGGGGTAGACAAGAGAGATGACTGGTCGTGTTGTTTCCCCCTGGTTGAAGGAAAGAGTGACAGCATGAGAGAGGAAAGAGGTGGAGGAGAGGTGGAAAGGTTTCTCGTGTACCAGACTCTTCCATGAAGCCCACTTACACAGCTTGTCTAGTGTAGTTTGTGTGGGCCGGTGTTTCCTGCAGAGAGTTGCTGTGGTGAGGAGGTGACCTGGTGACAGCGGAGGAAACTGGTTTAAACGAAAACCAGCACGAATAAAAACAGACACCACAGCATCCTTCTGCTAATGGTGCAGTCTGTTAAACTGCTTCCTGTTTACTTTTACCTGCTTGTAATGTTTGGCTGAAATAGTTTTCTTGTGTTTTTCGATTTAAAAACTCAAGAAGTTAAACTAATTCTGCAATAAAAGCCGCGTTTCCGCTTTTGGTGTTCGGGGAAATTTCTGTGTGTGTGTGTGGGGGGGGGGGGGGGGGGCAGGGATGAAGCGAGTGGGAGAAGGTTCGGTTCGGACTCGGAGCAGAGCTGTGTGTGTGTGTGTGTGTGTGTGTGTGTGTGTGTGTGTGTGTGTGTGTGTGTGTGTGTGTGTGTGTGTGTGTGTGTGTGTGTGTGTGTTGCTAGCTGGTGTTGTACCGTAATCTGCAGCTGGGATTATGTGACTGTATGGGGGAGGGGGAACCTGGAAAAAAGTTTTTTTTTTTAATGTAGCTCGGTAGAACACTTAATTCCAAGGAATAAGGCGCCGCCATAAATAACATTCAAATAAAATTTTGTCAAAATCTAATTTAAACCTTTCGGCGGACCAGGAGAGGGGCTGTGTGACATAAAAGTGGCGTTCAATGACCAGAAGAAATGTAGGTTTTTTTTAAGGTACTTTGTGGGAGACCACAAAACGCAGTTAAGTTTGGCGTGGGGGGGGGGGGGGGGGGGGGGGGGTAGGGTTTGGCGATGTCTGCCGATGTCAGTTCCTACTTGTTACAACCAATCAGCATTAGTTAACCCCAAGTCCCACCCAGCTTCACCACCAGGCCTTTTCTGAGTACCCACCCCAAAATTGCCCAGAAAATGGTCCTTTTGGGCTGGCCCAGTCAAATGGAAACGTACAAACCATGAAGGTCAAGTAAATTTACCTGAAGCTCCGATAACGGAAACGGGCCTAATGAGTGTTATGTTCTGTGTGAAGGAGAATACTCCAATATTGTTTGTGATCTATAGTTTATCAGACTCCTAAAATCCTCTCGACTTCCCCTCCCAACCCCCGTCATCGTCATGTGTTCTTTCACCTTTCTTCTAACCAGTTTTCTCTCATTTCTTTTAGACAGGTGTCACCAACTCCGGTCCTCGATGGCTACCATCCTTCTAGTTTTCTGTTTCCTACTCTCACCACACCTGCATGGAGTAATTTAATCTTCTCCTTAACTCTTCACCGGCCTGTTAATCACTCATTCATTTCAGTCAGGTGTGTAGGAGCTAAGAAACTGCTCACATGTGCAGGATGGTACATCCTCGAGGAGCGAAGTTGGTGGCCCCTGCTTTACGACAACCAAAGCGTATACTTCAGTCCCTTAATAAGATGCATAAACTCCCCAGTTTTAGGAAGGAGCCGTTCTCGTTGCACCGGTTTTATTTTTATTTTTTCATCGACCGTTCAGGTCACCCCCACTAACCCCAGACTCTCTTCATCCATTCACTGCAGGGTTTGCCTTTCCAGAATGGGCCTACAAGCCCGAGTCCAGCCCCGGGTCCAGGCAGATCCAGCTGTGGCATTTCATCCTGGAGCTTCTCAGGAAGGAGGAGTACCACGATGTCATCGCGTGGCAAGGGGACTACGGCGAGTTCGTCATCAAGGATCCAGACGAGGTGGCCCGTCTGTGGGGTGCAAGGAAGTGCAAACCGCAGATGAACTATGATAAACTCAGCAGGGCCCTGAGGTACATTTTGTGTTTGTCTGTGGAGCTTTCCTTCATACCTGCTGCTGGTTTTCATATTTAGACTCTCTTCTGTAGAAAAAATAAGCAAAGATGTTCTGGAAAACGGTTCAAGGACGACAGGCGCTCCAAAAGCATGTTCTCGTTGATGTTATGGTGTTTAAAAGCTGCAGAAGTGGTCTGTGCAGAGGCTTCTAGACAAGGATCTCAGCCTTATGATGAATATAATCTGCATTTCATGTTTTCTCTCTTTGTGCTAAAACCCAACACCACATGGTAAAACCTGTGTGCTCAGGCTGGTTTACTTGCTGTTATGAGCTGAGCGGCGTTACGACACTAACCCAGCTGGCCGGTTACACCTCTTGGTTCACTTTTATCCCAAACGCCTTCTCTGCCAAGTCCATTAGTGAATTAGTGACATGGTTTAGTCACGGCCTCAATCTCAGGTTCACATAAATGTTACTTATGTAACTTCATCATAATTCAGGTGGTTTTGTCCGTGTCAACGCATTCAGTCTTATTTAAATCAAACCAGGCAACAAGTCTGTGAGATCCACGCTCGCCAGACTTTAGGAAGTGAATAATGACAATAATAAGGTCAGAAATGCCCCAGGGAGTTCTCTCTACCTGACGTCTGTTATAAGGATGTTATAAGGACTGCGTCTCATTCGCTGTGTTTTCAGCTTCCAGCTCGGTGTGTGTTTATAAAGAGAGCCGGGATTAGGTTAAGCACTTTCAAGAAAGCCACGTTAAGGAGGGAAACGCTTCGGATTGCTTCATTTGGGGTTGGCACAGCTCATGGAGGCTCATTTGTTGGTGAGATTAAGTTAATGTCTGTTCCAGAAGGGATCCCATGAGGACAGCGAGCTTCAACGGGGATTATTTCTGCTCATACCCAAATGACGGTGCGATCACTCAGACGTGCAATCTGGACTTAGAATTCCTGATTTAGATGGAGAGGGAACATGAATGGGACACTGGTGCTCGGGCTTCGTATTTATAGTGCGTCCTTCTAGAGCTGCGGCAGATTTGGAGCTTAGGCATCAGAGTGTTCATATTTAGTGGGTCTTAGTGCACTTGGACGGGGCCGTCCTCAGAGACGGATCACCGGGAGAAGAACTTTCACCTTTTGCGCACTTGAGTCCTCAAACGCTCTCCCACAACCCAGGTCGTCTCGGTCCGTGTCTGTGAACGTATCAAAGTCAGCGTCGTGCATGATGACACCTAATCTGACACCAGAGAGACGTCTTAAAAAGAAAAACATCAGTAGTAAAGTAGAAAGATTGATGAAGTTGTTACATGTGCACGCTAACGGTCGCCACATGCAGCAAAGTGCTAGAGGACAGGCCTCCTCGTGCCCCTCATATGGAGAAAACCTGGAGTCTGCTAATAATGGAGACCGCAGCAGCATGCGGCGGGGAGCCGGCACACATGGACTTGAAAAGGCGCGCTTGTTTTGAAGTGCTCTTTTTATCACTCTGCCTTTGTAATTGTTGTTTTTTACCCCTGTGTTCTTATTCTGCCCCGTCTGCTGCGCACGTGTGGAAATTCCCTTAATCAGGACTGCTTTGGTGTGTGTGTGTGTGTGTGTGTGTGTGTGTGTGTGTGTGTGTGTGTGTGTGTGTGTGTGTGTGTGTGTGCGTGTGCGTGTGCGTGCGTGCGTGCGTGCGTGCGCACGCAGGAATGTGGGCCTGGTTAGAAATTGAAAGAATTTTCTTGTTTAGTTGTGTATTACATGAATTAGGGTAATTTCGTCTCCCGCAGCAGACGCTTTATGTCAGTAGCCGTTGTCAGTGCGACGGACATCGTCTGTGTCCACCCGGGTATTTTTCATCGCTCAGGTAACGAATAAAGAGGCAGACAGGATCTTCAACCCTCTGCTGTAAATTTAATAGGAGGTAATTGAGAGAAGTGGCGAATAAAAACTGATTTCTTTCACTGCTTTGTTCTCATGGAACAGAGCAGTGTTGATGAGTAAGAAGGGGGGGACGAGGGCCAATGAAGCCTGTTACCAATCAGGCGTTGCACAGTGTCGGCCCTAATGAGTGTAATCACGCTAAGAGGTTCCAGCTCCCTCGGCCCTCCAGACCTCTGTGTGGGCCTGCTGTCAGCCAGCACCGGCTCTGACTCGGTAGCAGAGGTCAGGGCGGCTGCCACGCACAGCTGGCAAAGATTAACAACACGGCAAATACCCTCGTACACAAACGCACCATTGTGCAGACGGTTATCCAAGCAGGCATACTCACACATGTTTGTTTCTTTGCCAGCTTTGTTTAACGGTGACTGTTAGATGCAGAGAAATGAAGTTTTATTCTTTTATGAATTATCTGTAGAGTTTGATGTGCTCCTGATCCAAGTGACCAGAGCACGGAGCTGGAAATCCTGCTGCGTGTGTGTTCTACGCTTTGCTAGTTATGGAAACACCTAGAGCCCAAAAAGAGAGTGCAGAGGGTGGAGACCGCCTCGCTGTCGGTGTTTAACGTTTCAGCATCTGCATTGTCTTTATCTGCAGCGTGTGTGTGTTCAGCTTACGTTGGAGCTGTGTGTGTTGCTTTGTTCATGAGTGAATGACGCCTCTGTTTCCTATGATACTGGAAAGTGTACAAGTCACACACACACACACACACAGAACATGCAACATCTTCACAAATCACACCTCGAAGCTAGCTCACACACACATGCACACATTTCATTTCCTTTTCCAATCAGTAAACACTTCACCAATGTGTCTTTTTATTTATTTTTTCAAACACAAAATTCTTTGACATGTGCAGCTTGCACACAAACACACACCTGAGTGTAAAGCAGCTGGTGTGTGCGTGTGTAACAACCGATGCTGACGAAAGAGGCAGAAAATAAACACGGACGCATGGGGAGCATTG